GAGTTCTTTTAACTTGCTGGGGTTTTTTTTGTTTGTTTGTTTGTTTTAGCATTTTGATTGGGTTTCTTATCTTTATCTTTTTCATATATATATATATATATATATATATATATATATATATAAATTGTGGTTACAATATATAATTTTAAAATTATCACAATTTAAGTTCAAATGAATTCTAACAGCATTATTTTTACTCTCCACTCCAATTTTATTTAACATCGTTTTGCACTTTTTGTTTTGTGTAGTTCTAGCCATTCTTGCTAATTTTGTCTTTTAACCCTCATATTAGCTTTTTACTAGTAAATGGTTGACTCACTCTAGTTTATTATGCATTTGCCTTTACCAGTGGGATTTTTTCTTAAAGAAAAATTTTTTTATAGCCTTTTCTTTTCTATACAAAATAGTTGGTTAACATTTCTTATAAAGCTGGTTTAGTGGTAAACTCCTTTAGTTTTTGCTTGTCTGGGAAATTCTTTATTTCTTCTTCAATTCTAAATGATGACCTTGCTGGATATAGTATTTCAGGTTGTAGGTTCCCTTTGTTCAGCACTTTAAATATTTCCTGTCACTCCTATCTGGCCTGTAAAGCTGCTGCTGAGAAATAAGCTGATTTGGGTTTCCCTTGTATGTGACTTGTTTTCCTGCTGATTCAAGATGGTCTCTATCCTTAACTTTTGCCATTTTAATTACAATATGTCTTGGTGTAGGCAACTTTAGGCTCATCTTCTTTGGAATTCTCCCAGTCCTGGATGTCCATTTCCTTCCCCAGATTAGAAAAGCTTTCAGTCATTATTTCTTCAAAAATACTTTTGGCCATTTTCTCTTTCTTTTTTTTTTTCTTTCTGTAATCCCTATAATACCAATGTTAGAGTGCTTGATGTTGTCAGAGGTCCCTTCAATTATTGTTTTTAAATTCTTTTTAAATTCTTATTGGGTGACTTCCACAACCCTTATTCTGTCTTCCAAATCACTATGTTCTTTGGTATTATCTAATATTCATTCTTTCTAATGTATTCTTCATTTCAGTTATTGTATTCATCACTGATTATATTACATTTCCTAACATTTCGTCGATGTTTTCTCTGAGTCCCTCTATTTTACTCTCAAAATTTGAATTCCGTAACAGGTATATTACTTACCTTTGTTTCTTTACATTTTTCTCTGAATTTTTTTCTTGTTCCTTCTTTTGAGCACTTAGAATACACCACCCTATTGATTTCTGACCTTCAAGAGTTTGGGAAATTAGCTGCCTTATTGAGAATCCTTGTATGTGATGAGCTGTTTTCCTCCTGTTGCTTCCAACATTCTCCCTTTGCATTTGTCCTTTAACATTTTTATTATAATGTGCCTCAATGTAGTTTCTTTGGATTTATTGATCAAGATTGCTTTGGCTTTCAGGGTCTTTAGTGATTTTATACACATTTTAGGATTAAATTTTGTTAAAATGACATTGTACTTTTGATATGGTCTCCTTAAATCTGTATATTTTTTTGAGTAGTATGGACATTTTAACAAAAACTTCCAATAAAAAAACCACAATATATCTTTCCATTTATTTATCTTCAATTTCTTTCATCAATGTCTTACAGTTTTAAATGTAGATTTTGTATTTTGTTTTTGTAGCTACTGTAAATTGTATTACTTTCTTAATTTCTCCTTCAGATAGTTCATTTGTAGTCTATAAATGTTTATCTGATTTTTATATGTTGAATTTTTATCCTGTAATTTCCTGATTTGTTGATTAGCTCTAGCAGTTCCTTGAAATTCAGGGTTTTTCATATATCAGATCATGTCATTTGCAACATATGATTTCACTTATATGGGGAATCTAAAAAACCAAATAAATAAATGAACCAAACATAAACAAACTCATGGTTGCAGAGAACAAAGTGATGGCTGCCAGATGGTAAGAAAGTTAAGAGGAATAGATGAAAAGGGGGGAGGATTAAAGTGTGCAAATTGCCAATTATAAAAAGTCACAGGAATGTAAAGTACAGCATAGGGAATATAGTAATAGTACAATAACTATCTAACTTTATTTTTTATTTTTGAGAGTTGCTTGTAATATATCTTGAAGATCTCTTTGTTTATGGACCTTCATAATTCCTGTATCTGGATACCAATATCTCACCCAATTTGGGAAATTTTCAATGATTGTTTCATTAAATGAGCATTCTGCACCCTGCTCTCTTATCTTCTGGGACTCCCATGTGTGATTTTCTCTTATGATGATGTCCCATAATATGGTAGACTATCTTCAATCTTTTGTTTATTCTTGTTTTTCTTCTCTTGACTGGGTAATTTAAAAAAAATTATTGCTTGTTGTTAATCTCCTGAGAATATATTTTCATTGATATTTACAAAGAGTGGGAGGAACAGGGAGAGACAATGAAAAAGAAACATTGATGTGAAATATAATGATTGGTTGTCTTCCAGTTCCCATAACCAGGGCAGAGAATTGAGCCTACAACCCAGGTACGTGCCCTTAACAGGAATTGAACCCAGGACCTTTCAGTCCAAGGGCCAATGCTCTATCAATTGAACCAAAACGGCTAGGGCTCTGACTGGAATAATTTAAAGAGATGTGGATTCAACTTCACAGATCCTTTCTTCTGATTAAGTCTGTTGTTGAGGCTCTCTATAGAAATTTTCATTACATTCATTGTATTCTTTAGCTTCAACATTTTTGTTTGGTTCTTTTAAAAATAATGTCTTTGTTGAACTTCATTTTGTTTATGTATTAATTCCTGAGTTCACTGAGCTGTTTGTGTTAACTTGGAAGTCCGTGTACTATTTTAAAATAATTATTTTAAATTCTTTTACAGGTAACTGGTAGATCTGTTTTTGTGTGTTTTTTGAAGGGGGTGGGGGTGGGGGGGACAGAAGGGGGCATGCCAATCATTATATTAATTATTTTGTTCCTTTGGTTTTGTCAAGTCTTTTTACTTTTTCAATTCCTTATTGCTCACTTATTGGCCCAAAATAAGTTTTTAAACTGCATAGGGTTTTTGTAAACATTTTTTCCCTTTCTTTTTTATCCTCATTATACTGAATAGGACTTCTATTGCAACAATGAATAGAAGGCAAAGATTATCTTTGCCTTTTTTTAAATTAGAGGAGAAATGGATTTAATATCAAACCATTAAACAGAGATTGGATTTTTATAGTTTCCCATTATTAAGTGATGGGATTCTCTTTTGTTTCTGGTTTGGTGGGAGTTTTTATCACGAGTTTTCCCTTTTGTAATTTTTTTTGTTCTGATCTTCCTCTTTTATGTTAAGCTGATGAATTATATTGCTAGGATAAATTCCATCTGGTCTCACTATATCATTCCCCCCCCCCCCCCCCCCCGCCCCATTGCTAAGCTCTATTTCCTACTATTTTATTAAGTGTTTTTGCATTAGTGTTCATGTAGGACATGAATCTTTTTCTTTTCTCATATTTGTCAAGTTGTGCTACTGGTGTGTACCAGACTCATAAAACAAGCTGAAAAGTTTTCATCTTTATTTCTTGAATTTGTGTAGAACTTGGAATTATTTCTAACTTAAATATTTCACCTGTGAGGTAATCAGGATTTAAATCTTCCTTTTTTTTTCTTCCTTCCTCTTTCTTTCTGTGTGAGATTACAAATTTCATACCGTAATAAATATGAAGCTATTTTTGGACCTTTTCTTTATGCATCACTTTGACAAGGTATATTTCCAAAGATATTTGTCCATTTCATCTGAGTTGTTGAATTTGTTGGCATAAAGTTGTCCATAACATGCTCTTATTATTATCTTCAATGTCAAATGGCCAAATAATGATGTTCCTCTTTTCATTTCAGGTAATAATAATTTGTATTTTGTCTTTTCTACTTGATCAGTCTTTTAAGTTTCCTAGACTGTCCTAATACATTCTCATAAACTGGGTAGCCTGAAACAACAAAGTTATTCTCACATTTCTGAAAGATAGAAATCCAAAATCAAGGCTTTCTTTATAGGCTATTGGATACTCCTCCCTAGTTTCTAGTTGCTGGCAATCTTTGGCATTCTTCAGCTTGAGGCCACATTCTCCAATCTCTGCTTGTCTTCACTTTGTCTTCTCTATTTGTGTCACAATGTGGTCTTTTTATAAGGACACCAGTCATTGAATGTAAGGTTAATCCTGATCTAGTATGAGCTCAGCATAACTAATTCCATCTGCAAATACTCTTATTTTCAAATACAATCACATCTTGAATGTCTGGATGAACATGAGTTTTGGTGGAATACTATTAAACCCATGTACAGGTCTTGCTAGGGTTCACCCATTTTAATCATTTTAAAAAACTCACTTGAATTTCTCTTCATTACCATCAGTTTTGAAAGTTTTCAGTCAATATTCTTCCAGCATTTCTTCTATACCATTCTCTTTATCCTCTCCTGAAACTCAATTATAAAATGGAAGGCCATTTTGATTTTGCCTTCAAAACTCATATATTGGATTTTAATTTGCACTTTTCTCCTCAAATTTTTTTTCTTATTGAATTTATTGGGTGACATTGGTCAATATCAATTTTATACTTTCAAATGCCTCATCTTCAAGTTTATTGGTCCTTTAATCTATGTGTAACTATCATATCCAACTGTAGAATTTTTTCTTTTTTCAAAGTTCTCATGTCTGTTGAAAGTCCCCATCTTTTGATGCATGTTTTCTACCCTTTTTACTAGATCCGTCAGCACTTTTATCATGGTAACTACATTTGGTAATTGTAGCATCTAGGAAATCTCTGAGTTTGCTTTCATTGAATGTTCCTCTCTGGATCAAATTTTCCTGCTTCCTTGCACGTCTTCTAATTTCTTACTTTATGCTGGATATTTTTTTATAAGAAGAATAATTGTGAAAACAAATGTTATCTCCAGAAAAGGGCTGCCGTTCCTTTTTCACATCCCTAGAGTGGAGGCTGAGTTATTGGATCTATAGTTTTCTAAAAGTAGAAGTTAAAGAATTAAAACACCATCAAACTAATATTTTTGTTTTAAAATAATTTCTTTAATGTGCTATGTGTATCTCTAAGCCTGATAATCCAGTATGGACATACAAGTCTACATTCTTCTCTGTGCCATCTTATCCACACATAACTTATAATTTTATTAACTTTAATTCTATCAACTTCCCCCTCACCACACTGTGATCTTCATAACTGAATCATAGTTTTCTTGATATATCAATAGAACAATCAGGACTGGATGCTGTATCCCATCTGTGGTTGCACTATGATTTGCAGAGATATAATAAAAATTATACTTTATACCCATATTTTTTTCACATGATGCTAATCAATCAGTTTATTGAAATGTCTCCCCTTTTCACTGCTGCTTGATATACATAAACAGTATTTTATTCTTAGTTGAGAAATCTTCAGAAATATTTAGTCCCACTCTAGCAACTTCTTCATGATCAAGCTCTGTTTCCACCATGTAACCATTTTCCCTTAAATTGCTTTCTCTTACACTTTAAATTTTTCTCATCATCTTTTATTCTGGCAATGGACCCATTTCTTCTAAAAAGATAAAGCTTGTTAATCTGCAAGCATTCTTTTGCAAACCAGTTTGTCAGGGTCATCTTCCAGATGAGCATTTTCTCCTTCAAAATTTTATCTGGAATCTATAAATCATTCTTTTTTTAAAAATACATTTTTATTGAGTTCAGAGGAAGGGAGAGGGAACGCGAGATAGAAACATCAATGATGAGAGAGAATCATTGATTGGCTGCCTCCTGCATGACTCACGATGAGGATCGAGCCTGCAACTTGGGCATATGCCCTGACCGGGAATCGAACCAGGACTTGAACTGGGACCTCCTGGTTCATAGGTCAACCCTCAACCACTGAGCTATGCGGGCTGGGCTGTAATTCATTCTTTATCTACATAACTAGAAATTTTGGTATAAGCTATCCAATCACGTGCCATGACCAGAGAGATATATCACAATTATTTTATACCTAGTTTTTTCAAGTTGCTCATTTTGTTCTTGAGAATCTGACTTCTACAAACATCACATCCCAGAAAAAAGGTTCAATATTTGCCTGATCAAGGCTACTTTTACAATAATTATAATTTGCTATAAAGAAAAATCTAAAAAGTTCTTGACTGTAGTTTAAGGTAACTATTATTAATGATATCTGCTGTTATTCATAAAGTTCTCAGACTCATGAATGAACACTAACCTTGGTTTTATGCAAAACATGATTGGAGTAAATTTAACTATAGCTGCTTCTCAGTTTTGATTAAAATCTCCTATCAGAGACTAAGTTTCATGAAATGATAACCATGTGTGACACGACCAGTTAGCATAATATCTGGCCTTGTGGCAGGAATCAATCCAATACCACTACCATCTCTTGTGCAAAACTAAGCACCAACAGTCCATGAATTCAGGTCTGCTTCCCTTTATTGGTGAATTCCAGAAAAAAAAAATTTTTTTAAAGACTATAAGAAATGTATTAGTATTACCGCAAAACCCAATTTGAAAGGAGCTGCTGAGCAATGCTGATTACTTGGTGTCCTGGGAAATGTCTTGCATAAGTGCTCCAAACAAAACATGCTTTCTAATAATTTCTAAAACGTGAAATGCTGGATTCTGCAGATGGCTCAGTGCACTTGTGGTGTTTCACTTAATAAAGTAGGGGGAAAAAACCTAGTGCTATCGTCCTTTGGTTTTATTTCCTGGGAATAAAAAAAGTATAGGCAGAATGGTTTTACATGATCTTCTTGAAGATATCCCTTGAAATAATTTAGAAAATGGCTTACTTCATGATTCTTGGTTATCAGGACCCATCAATGTCACTGTCAGCCTTGATTAATTGGTGGAAAATTTCAGAGCAGTAGTAACTTATGAATGTTTTCCCAATCCCTGAGAATCATAATCATCGAATAAATATTTCATCTTTTCATCATACATCTCTGGAAAGTAGATGTGTTTGCTCGTTGTTAATAGGACAAGGAATAGTGTCATAGAGGGTTAATCCATGTAAATTGGTTTCCACCCGCAAAGAAATTTTCTGGAACAAAAAAAGAAAAATACTTACAGAAGTTTGCTCCTTAATGACAGGTCACATCCTCAATATGTTCTGAGGAATATCTTTTGGGATTAGGAATATAAATCAATTATAATGAGTAAGAAGAATGAGACAGCTATTGAAATGCCAAAGATATTGGTAGTGTTGAGAGCTGAGAAGATCAAATTTCTTTATTCAGATATTCATTTTTCTTTCATTTCTATGAAGAATCAGTAAATCTAAATGTTAAGGATGGCCAACGTTCATGGAGGCAGATGAAAATTCTGTCAAAGAATTTCTCAATGTGATTGTTTTGCAACCCGATTTCAAAGCTGAATCTTGCCAGTAATACATGACTTGCGCAAACACAGAAACAATTCTGTGAAAAGTTCCTTTTCTGCCATCACTGCTTATGAAGTTCATTTCGAAAGGTTAGAGACTGGCCTTCAGAAAGTTCTCGTACCCCACGTGAAGGAAATCTGACCACAGAAATCTAATCCTACGTCTCCTTACCTGAAAATCACGGATGTAAGTCAGGAAAAAACCAAAGAAGGAACATGACATAGACCATTCTGCCGCGGTAGTGATCATGTGAAGCGCATAGCCCTTGAGTGACAATGAAAAAAGAAGAAGAATTCTGTGAAATTTCGGACAAATGGTCTATAATTTCTGTCAAGTAAAAAACCCATAATATTTATAAACCCTCACTTTTTTTTTTTTTTTTTAACATATCTTGAGCATTCAAGGCAGGCATTGGAAAAGTCCTCTTAAATGATCTAGCTACCATCACAGTTTTATCTAGAGCACATAAAGTTCCATTTGAATAGCTAAGAGAGAACTTCTACTCGAATCAAGAAATTTTGGCCTTTCCCAAAACCAAAGATTCATAAAACAAACAAACACCCTTAAGTAAACAATGCTCATGATAAACTTAGTGCTATTTTAAAGCTTTAAGTAGTTTATGGATTATACTTCAGAAAATCTAGCAGATTATTTTATTCATTCATTTCCATAAACATGTCCTAATAAGACTGATGTTTGGTAAAAAATTTAAAGTAAAATGCCACTGAGAGGTTTGTTTAAAGAGATGAACTCATGTTATCTATTTAGTATATCTCCCTCCTCCTTTTTTCTCGGGATCAAAGTTGCTATCTCTATTCAGGTATCCACTATATTTGAATCCAAATGCAGAGTCCATAATAATATACTTCCAGGCAACAAAAGGTGGGCAAAGACATGTTTTCAATTCAGAAAACAAGTATTCTAATAATAAAAGCTCTCAGCTGGGTACACTGCATACTATATCCTGATTGTGAGGAGTCGATTTCTGAGAAAACTCTTTGCTATCACAATTTCCTTCATATTTTGAAAATGCCCACAGACCACAGGTGACAGGAGAATACGGAGGATGCTACATAAACCCTTTCATATATTGAAAATAACCTTAATAACTGATTAAGCAGAGTGTGCATTTAAAGAGACATTTCTTTAAATGCAACTTAATACCTAATTCTTCTACTGAAAATGTTTTCTCATTAGTGATGAAATGAAAAACACTGTATCAAAATAGTCATTTTTAATACAAAACTATTAAATATATTTTTTAAGACTACGTTCTTACTTTATCCTCGGGGTTCCAGTGGAGCTTCTGTACTATATCTGAGCCAAAATGGCCACTGTACAGGAGAGAGGAGCAAGTCAGCACTATGAGGAAGGCCGGTCAAGGAAGATTCTCAGAGAGGAGCTGTAAGTTTAAATTAGATTCAAAACCAACATGGCGGGGGTGGGGGCGTGAGGGAGGGTGGGGGTTGAGGACAAATATGTGATACCTTAATCAATAAAGAAATTAATTAAAAAACAACAACAACAACATGGCTTTAAAGGTCCAAGAGGATCACGCATATATGTGTTTCCAAGGTCCAAATCCATCTTCTTAAAGACTTCCTGGTACACGGCAGTGGGAAACTTCCCAACATGCCCAGAGTGCACTATGACGTGGCTCGCATCGTCAACCCCTTTGTCAGTAACTGGGCACTTCTATCACCAGCTTCTGCTCCATCATTAACTCATCATAACATCTCTGAAGTGAGCATGATTACTCTAAACATTATCTTTGTTCCCAGCTCAGTTACTGAGTTCCTGAGTAAAATTTGAATTACATGTTTCAAATCCTAGAATTTGGGGTGACTGTTCCAAGAACCTCACTGTCCACAGGACTGCTGACAGTATGCCAACAGTGGTCACTTAGATTTTGTTATTCAATTCCCTCTGAGAGCAGCCACATCTTAGAGCAAAGGATACTGCTAAACGCACTCACTGCGCACCAGATGACCAGCAGCAGTCTGACCCAGAAGACCTGCTTGCTGTGGATTTTGGGCTGCATCAGGTAGGAAAGGGCTGTCTGGACAAACATATACAACGAGCCCATACCGAAGGTGAGAACAGCTCCACATATATGGACGGCAAAAAAGGCTGTTTTCTGAGAGGCAGAAAGAAGAAAATAAAAGAGACTGAACACACATTGCCAATACAGTATTTAAGCCACAAGCCAGCAATGTCAATAGGACATTCACAGAGTAGAAAAGCCCTGCAGATTGTACAAATTACTTCTGGAGGAGATTTTCTTTCATAATGTTCAGCATAAACCTGTGGATTATAATAACTCAAATTCTATCACAGGCAGTAGGGATGGAATTACTTATCCATCTAATATGTTTGTTTATTTAGGTGCCTCTTCTATGTCAGCACTGTTTAGTTCTCAGATATATTAGTAAAAAAATAAATAAATAAAAATAAAAATCTGGCCCTCAAGGTTTACATTCAAGTGAAGCGGCGCAAACAATAAATAATAAACTTTAGAAATGAGTACGTCCCTGACCAGGGATGGAGCCTGCAACCCAGGCATGTGCCCTGGCAAGGAACTGAACCGAACTGGCAGCAACCTTTTGGTGCAGGAGACAACTCTCAACCGACTGAGCCACACCATCCAGGGCTACCTTCCTCTTCTTACCAGTATCTCTTACATTTTACTTTTTACTGTAATACATTCTGCCTAAAACATGATGACAATAGCTCTCTAAGAATTCTACAGACAAAAGTCTCCCTTTACACCAGTCTGTTTTTTCTAAACTGATGCTGTGCTTCACCTGGTCGAGAAAGTGCAATGCTTGGCACAGAGGGTCTGACTGAGGGAACAGACAGGTCAGGCCTGGTCCCTCATTTCCCAATCAGGCGCTAATTCACAAACACAGAGGCCAATGTTCTAGGCTGAAGATGTATCATAGGAAGTTTCTAGAATAAAGAAATAAAATATAACAACTTATTTGCCAAAGTCATTGGTTTTCGTTTGGAGAGTGAAAGGATGACTTCAATGTGGTTTTGGTGCTAAAACTGGCAATAAGCTATGTGCACTAAGGAGAGAAAAAATGTATTGTCATTACCACTTTGTATAACAAAGATAAAAACGACATTCAGTGCCCACAGAATGTAATACAAAATGGTAATATTTTCTTAGTTCATAATTAGGTGGATTTATTCTATATCTATGGCTTAAGGCTAAAAAACGGTACACAAAAAATGAAATTAATTATTATAGGGCTAAGAACAGGAAAATGGATAAAATTTCCTCCTTAAAAATATTCTCACTATACTGATGAAGCTAAATATAGACCCAGCCGGATCAGTGCCCCCTGTGGTCAGTACACAGTCCTATCAACAAAATCCTGTGAACCAAAAAGCAAAAATAAAGAATGGAGCATATTCTATTTCTAATTAGAATAGAAGTATATTAAACTGGTTGGTGGTGTTTTGTTGGGGTAGCTCTAGGAAATGAACATAGATTTCTGCCTACTTCTCTCTTCCAAATTTCCCTGAGGATAAACTTTACCTGGAGAGAAAAATTTCTGTAAGATGGCACTGAGTACACTTACCATATGTTTTGCTGATTGATAATTAACACTAGAGGCCTAGTGCATGAATCTGTGCACTGTGGGGTCCCTCAGCCTGGCCTGAGCCCTCTCGCAATCTGGGACCCTCTTGGGGGATGTCGGACTGTCAGTTTCAGCCCGATCCCCAGGCTGACAGCCCCCGAAAGCGGCAGTCCGACATCCCTCAAGGGTATAGTAATTCGCAAAGTGGCAGGTGGCTGGGGACGAGCCCGAGCCTGGGCCAGCACTGGAGGTAATACCCCAACCGACTGGGAATTGAACCAGCAACGGAGATATATGCTCTGATTGCCTTTCAGTGTAGGAATGATGGCTCCTACCAATTGAGCTACAATGTGTGTTTTTATGTCCGACTAGTTATTAAATATCTAACTAGGTTATCAAATGTCTAAATGGAAACTTTAAAGGCTGTAGAGCACATGTGTCAAACACAAGGTCCGCGGGCCAAATCAGTCCCGCCAGGCCTTGCAATGTGGCCCGCACCGCGCTGTCATCACTGCACTCCGCTGCGTTTCCATCACAATGACAGTTTATGACTGTTCAGTAAACCATTCGGCCCGCGATTTAGGCTGCATTTTAGATTTTGGCCCCTTCTCTGATTGAGTTCGACACCCCTACTGTAGAGAGATTAATCAAAGGCACCACAGGCCCAGGATACAACTGGTAGTACCAAAGCCTTATCTGAAAGAAATGTGGGAAGTTTGCAAACGTTTGGTGACAGCTGACTGGTACTTTAACGTTAAGAATTCCTGAGAGCCCTGACTGGTTTGGCTCAGTGGATAGAGCGTTGGCCTGAGGACTGAAGGTTCCCGGGTTCGATTCCGGTCCAGGGCATGTACCTTGGTTGCGGACACATCTCCAGTGGGAGGTGTGCAGGAGGCAGCTGATCAATGTTTCTCTCTCATTGATGTTTCCAACTCTCTTTCCCTCTCCCTTCCTCTCTGTAAAAATTCAATGAAATATATTTTTTTTTAAATTCCTGAGAAAACGCTGAAAGAGCAACAGACCCTTCCTCTGCCTCCTCACCTACGGGCTGGGCACCTAGGAATGCATGTGATCAATGGAAGCATCTAAACAAGAATACCAAAGAAAATGATTGTAATTTGTCAGGCATATTTTTTAAAAAGTTTAAATCTGTAATTCTCACTTATAATTTATATCAATTCTCTCTGGTCTTGGCGTAATCTCCAATTAAGTAGTGATAAAGAGCCTAGTAAGTAAAATCCTATAGATCCTTAAAATGACAGAATAATTTCTATTTAGTCAACAGATTAATGAGAACAGAATTTTCTAACTGTAAATGCAGCTGTTTCTAAGAGGGTCAAATGATTTCAAAGCAGTGGATTGTATTATGTGAACAAGGGCAAAGAAACGACAGCAGCATGTAACTGGGTGCTCCAGGTGTTCTTGGTCACATGTACATTCAGGTACCTCGGGGAAATATCTGTGTTGGGTTAGAACACAAACCTGGAAATTTGCCACCAAAGAAAGTCCTAAGCAACTCAGCAATCCAAGTACGAGGCCAGCCTTGTTTAACCTTGAGATGTATCTCCCTTCGGGATTCAGAGCCTGAACTTGCTTATAACGCACATAGATGGTAGCAATGCCTGGGAAAGAGAAAACCCAAAAAACAGGTAGTAAATAACCGAGAAATAAAGTTGCCAATAAAGAGTTCGCGGAGGTCACTGCTATTCAGAAACAGAGATCTTCCTTTATTTCTTATTAGTCAAGAAAGGGCTAAATCAGACTTTCCCTTGCAAAAACATTGCCAAAGAACACGAAAGTACAGAAAACACAGCAGAGCTATGCTTTTGTAGATATGTGCTTGAAAACTCGAATCATACACTGAAACATTTACTTGACTTTAATTTTTGACTTTCTATGAAAGAATGCAAATAGTTGCAATTGTGGAAAAAGCAATTCTTTAGCAAACCATTACTAAAAATTTGATTAAAAAAAATTAATAGGAATGTAAAATACCGTACTAGAACTTCTTTTGGCATTAGAGTATCGTTCAAAAATCAAGCCATGCCATCCTCAAACTTCGAAATTACTTACCCTGAAGGGATGCGGTAGGTGTTAGTTGCAGTGTGTTGACAGCTCTTGTCCTCTCCTGGTTGCTTAAGAGATCCACTTAAGGCCTCAAGGAATATTTGGCAATACTTTACAACTTATATTTGAATGAGTAGTTTAAAAGCTTTGTAAGTTTTTTCAAGGATTTATTTCCATAACTCAACATTTCTAGAAATTGCTTTTCTTTTAGAAGGAACATATCTATGTTCAATAATTTAGTGATAACATTCCCTTAAGTATAGTAATTAAAAAAGTAAAACAAGTAATACAGTATTATCTAAAGAAGAAAAGGGTGATTTGTCTGTTATTTTTCATCATTAAGACATTTTCATTACTTACATAAAACTGCAGCGAAATTTAACATTGCCCCAAACAGGCACTTTTCTGGAGCGACGGTACCAGTGTCACTGAAAGAAAAAAAATGGTGTGTATTTCTACCACTAAATTTACACGTGTATTTCTTCTAAGGGATAAGAAACAACAGGGGTTACTTCAAGTCCTTTATCTTCTCATAAATCTATGAGTTCGACTCTTATAATTACATAAGGACATGACAATTTGAGCTCACAATATTTGTTTAGTTCACTTTTTATCATATCACTTAAATTACTTTTTGACATACTAGAAATCAATGTAAATTAATTAAAAAGCATGGTAAGAATGTTGTTACTGACTTTTATCACTCAAGGAGTATGATCATTTGTCTCTGAATATTCTCTAATATCACAGATCCTTTCAAAAATCTTTTGTTATTGTTCTTTAAAAAAAAAAAAAAGTACATGCTTATAGATTTCAGAGAGGAAGGGAGAGGGAGAGAGAGATAGAAACATCAATGATGAGAGAATCATCATTCAGCCGCCTCCTGCATGCCCCCTACTGGGAAATGAGCCTGCAATCTGGGCATGTGCCCTGACCAGGAATCAGACCCTGATCTCCTGGTTCATAGGTTGACACTCTACTGAGCCACACTAGCTGGGTTGTTATTGCTCTTGACTTTCCTATAACTCAATTTATAGCTAATCATTTCATGATTAATCAAAAAAATGTTCATCAAGAACCTACCCTGTGCCAGACAGCATGTTAGGACAGGAATATGGTGTAAGTAAAGGAGACAAAGCCACTGGCTTCGGGGCTTCCATTCCAGGCCAGTTCTGAGCCCCCACCTCCCTATGGCCGTGACCAACCCTCTGGCAGAATGCCCACTCCCAGCATTCCGTCCACACCTGCCACAACCAGCTGCAATGCCCTGCAATGCCCGCCGTTCAGGGCAGTGGTGTACACAGATCCAGGTGAACTGCCACCAGGTAATACTGTGGAACCGTGGGTGTGTTCTGTTGTCTGCAAAATGGAGCTGTTATCCTCTTCCTTGCCTCACCGGATGGCCATGAGGAACTGAAAGTGCATGTGAAATACCTACCAGAGTAGCAGGCACAGAGGAGATCCATTAAATGTTACTTCCTCTCCCCTCCCTCTAACTACTGTAAAGATTAGAGAGACACACTCTTTGGTCTCAAATTGAAGTACGTAGAAAAGAGACTAAAGATCTCAACTAAGACAATGTAATGGGAATAAAAAAGGAATGGAGCCTGGCCAGTGTGGCTGAGTGGTTGAGTAACAACCCATAAACCAGGAAGTTAGGGTTTGTTTCAGGTCAGAGCACGTGCCCTGGTTGTGGGCTCCATCCCCAGACGGGGGCGTGCAAGAGGCAGCTGACTGACGATTCTGTCTCATCATTGAAGTTTCTCTCTCTCCTTTCTGTTTCCTCTCTGAAATCAGGAAAAACGTATTTTTAAAAAAGTACTATTCTAAAAAAAGAGAGAAGGAGGAATGGAGAGTCATTTCTGGGAGAGCATCTGGATTGCGTTAATGAAAAGTACATCGGAAGGCCTGCTCCTTCCTACTCCAAAACGCGTCTTCAGATACAAAAGCCTCTGTCCTCTCTGATCAAGTCCAGGGAGTGGGGATCATGTATTATTGTTGCTGTTGTTCCTTCTACCTTTCAGGTTTTCAAGAATAACGTGTACGTATTATCCTTATCATCAGGAAAAATACACACAACGGTAAGTTGAGTTCCAAATGGTGCTCTTGCTCCGGATTGCCCCAAAAGTCACCCAAAGCTCCCGTGTCCAAGCCGCCGGCAGCGGGCTCCTTCCCTGGCTCTGGAACACGTGACACAGACTGGCCTCCCAATGCAAACAGCTCTGCCCCCGCCCGGGCTGCACAGCCCTCCACCCGGCGGCTGCCCACGCTTGTGATTACACACCATTAAAAAGTGCTCATAATATTATGAACAGAAAGGATCCAGTTTAACAATCATGTTTTAGATATAAGGAAAGGAGCTTAAGAGTTTTAATATGTTATCATGCTGGGGAAAGACCCCAGGGCAGTAATACAAAGTTCACTGGGAGAAAAAGAAAAAGACAGAAGGGCAGGGGCAGGAAAGGAAGTGTCTAGGGGACTCTGGGTCAGGAAATCACATGCGGTTCCACCAGGGAACTGAAACTGAGAGAGAACTCCAGGGGCCTCTAGACTATTAAAATTCTTTCAAATGAAAGCGGACAAGGCCTCGAAGGGCCCTAAAAACGCTGAGGGACCCTCGTGAATCTTTTGTGTGTCTTCTGAAGTTACTACCGTGTGAACTGGCTTCTTAAACCTTTCGACCTCACGGACTACCAGTGGTCCACAGACACGGTTGGCAACCGCTGCCTTCAACCACACGCGCCCCTAGCAGAGCAGTAAACATTGGTGATGATCAGATTCCTAGAACTGGAACCTTAAATAAAAAATATCTTTTTGTTTTGTAAATCTTCCCCAAGATTGATATCTTTGTATCATATCATTTATATATATATAAAAAATACATTTAGCCTTTCAGTTTATCATCCTTTAAAAGGTTATTTTTTCAGAAGGTAAACAAATAAATAAAACAACTCCAACACCGAACGCGCCAAACTCTGAAAGGTAATCCACCAGCCCATTCACCGCGTGTGTGGACGCAGGAACTCAAGGGAGGTTAGTGTTTTTATAATCACTTTGATATTGTTTAAAATGTGTTAGAACAAGCACACGGCACCTTTATAATTGAAAAGAAGGGTTATGGACATACAACAAATTGAGTACTACATTAGCAATTTTGAAATTTCAAAAATATTTGCGATAAGTGTTGATACTTAATGTGTCAGAAAGATGTAGGCAACATGTCCTGAGAAGGAAGGGCGTGGCCTCCAGAGTCAAACCGTCCAGTGAAACTGGTTCTCGGTTCTGTCATTTACTGTCTTGTGCCTCTCACAGGACCCTAACCTTCCCGGACAGACCCCCTTTCCTCTCAAAGAAAAGTCTCAAAGGGTGGCTGTAAGGACCCACTTATTTAAGACTGAAGAATACTTAGGACATTACCTTGCACGTAAGTAGATCAACAAATGTCTGTCATTACTATGATCTTTCAATATTATTATTGTTGTCTTCCGCATTTTTATTTTAAGGTTAGAGTAACTCCAATTCTATCTCCTGGGACGATTTCGAATACTGGTTTGGAGGACAAAGCACTGAAGTATCACAAATGAATCTTAGCCCTCTGTCTCCACATTTCTCCAGCACGGAGGAGGAGCCAAGAATCCTTCCCTGTCATGTTCCTCTCGTAGTTGCAAAGCAAATGTAACATTTGAATTTCAAAATGCTGACGTTACCACTTGGCTTCGATGCTAAAATATGAATGAGAAGTAACCTATAGAATACATTTCACTGACCTGATATAAGGCAAAGCAGGGTCAACATGGTGCAGAACGATGGCAGTGATGTACGAAAATATGAAAGCAGCAGCCGTCCAAATGACAAGGGCTGATGGCAGGAAACTGAGGCCTTGCTGAAACCACCACATCGCACAGGTCTTCTGAAGCAGAACACAAGTCTGACAAGATTATTCACTCAAATCACATCTTCTCTGCTTACGCTGTCCACTCCCTCAACCTTGGACTTAGCACCCTGAGCTGGTCCCCTTCTGAAACCACCCCCCTCACCACCTAACACCCGCTCTCCTTGGACTTCTCAGTAAATGAAGCGAAGAGTCACCCACTTGCCAAGTCCAGACTCCTTTCCCTCCCATCTCTCCACACAACATCAAGTACCAAGTGCCATTTAACCCACCTCCGAAATTTCCTTAAAATCTAGGTCTTCTCTCCATCTGCACTGCCACTGCCCCACTGAAACCACCCTCATTTCTCGGCCAGCTTGTTATTATAACTTACTAAATGGTCCTCCTCTGGACTGGCCCACAACCAATCTGGACTCCACCCTAAGCCAGAGTGACCGTCTCATTCTCCAACACCAATCCGACCACCTTCTCCTCCCACAGAGTCTCTCAGTCTCCCCGATGCCCTTATAAACATCCCCTCTTCCTCAGCCCGGTCTGGGAGGCCCCTGTACTGTCTGGTCTCTACTCACTTTTGTATTCCTCTCTGGCTACTCTCTTTGCTCCCACTTTCTTGCTCATCACCTTCACCATCATTACAAAAGCAAACACAGTGTTGACTCTGAGCCGGCAATGTTACTAAGCACTTTACACTAATACATGACCTCACTGACTCCTCACAACAGACATAGAGGTTAAGAGAACTGCCTGAGGTCATGGGGAGGCGGAGACAGGAGTCAAACTCAGGCAGTTCCGTCCTGCCACCCATCACTGTGCTTTGGGTCACAGCAAACTGCTTCTGGATCTTCGAATGTGGCAAGCTCTCTTGGGCCTCTCAGACCTTCCTGCACATGGCACTGTCTGGATGAGTAGACTGCAGTGCCCTCCTGCTACCGCCAGTCAGCATCTACTCATCCATCTCCAAGCCTGGACTGCGGTCCTTCAGCTGAGTGTCCTGCCTTGTTCCCAACAGCATCTCTTACCCCCTCCCCCCCACCCCACCCCACTCCCCACCGGACACTCACGCCACTTATCTGGAACTTGCTGGTTTGGTTTTATCTTCCTCACTCAGCTTTAGGTTCTGTGAGAACAGGAACCAACTGTTCTGTTCACCATTATATTCCAGCTCCTACATGAGGGGGGGAAAATAGAATCTAAATATACAAAGCCCACACATCACCACTTTCTCTCTTCCATTCCAGATGGAGGATGCTTGTAAATAACGAGTCAGTAATGTGAATCAGCAAACATGACGGTCTCTTCATGCATTTACTTTTAAATAATAAATATAAGTACTTCCAAATGGTAAGAAATTACTCATATGCATGTGAAAATAACTGCATGTTTGGAGGAGTAGCTTCTCAGAGTTTAATGGGGTGAAACTGAGCATTTCCCAGGAACTTTGCAAAAACTCACAACTCTTCTCTACACCCATTTTCCGACGGGCTTAGCTCTCATCTCGAACTTTCCAAATAATGAAATCTCAGCTATTTTTGACTCATACTTGTCACTTACTCTGTCATCTGACTTATTGCTAAATACGCGTATGTAAATCTTGCCGAGTAAGTTTCTTTTCCTTTGTTCTTAAAGCCACCATTATAGACTTGAGCAATTTCCTGTCTGAATTACCATAATCTTCTTTCCTGTCCTTTTCCATTGTCAGTCCTTACCACTCCACCAATTTTCTTCATCATGACAAATCCTCCCTAAATTCCCCAGCATAAGTTTCTGAGACAATAATTCTCGATTTCTATAAATTTTGAGCTACAGTACTTCTAAAACCTTTCATTTTCCTCCTTCCATCTCTTTAAATGTTATTTGAATTTGTTTCCGATCATCGCAATCTAAAATCCTTAGGAGTCCAGCACCATATGTGCTGGGTCTGCCATCCTCTGCACAGGGGGTTTATGGTTTTTGAGGAAGAGCTCTCCTGGGAGTGTCCTCAAGGCTGAGATGAGGGTGCCCCATGGCAGGAAGGGCCTGTATTTCTTTTGCTAGGCGCTCTGACACAGAACCAACCCAGGCCACCATAATGTTTTGGCTTCAGGTTTGTCAGTGCAGGTAGGGATGTCCGTTTGAATCCTGGGCGAGGCGGGCCCTGTGGTCTGATACAGCCAGCAGAGTGGGCAGAGCAGGAGCTGTGAGCCCTGCTACAAAAGGTCACCAGGAAGAAAGCCCTGCAGATCCAGCTACAGGCAGAACTGGGAGTACAAGTATTGCAGGTGGACCTCGCCCCCAGGGTGGCCTTAGACCCCCCTGACCTTTCATATGGCAGGTCCTCCCCTGACATGGCATTCCCCTGGAGGAGGAACGGGGCTGGAGACCAGCCTCCTAGGGCTCCAGTCAAGCCCTTGCAGGACCACTCCCATCAGCATTAAGCCTTCAAGATCAAGAGGTTCTGACCCGCATCAAATCATCTTATCAACAAAGCCCCAGGCCAGCTGGCCAAAGAGACGAGAGAGAATATCTAGGCCTCAGCTGTGTATCCGCTCCAGGCTCAGAAAGTATCAAGGCCAGGCAGGGCAACAAGGACCAGGGCTGACAGCAGGACCAGCTGTGATGACTAACCACCCTGCCCCTGCCCTGGGGCTTGCCCAACAGTGCCGACCACAACCCCCAGGAGACACACCTGGAAAGATGAAGAACATTCTACTGCGGTCCTCCCCTGAGACCTCTGGAGAAAAGCCCTTAAGACAAAGGACCAGCAGGCTTGCGTGCGCTCACGCGCCCTCTCCCCTCTCCCCATTCCCCCACCCCCTCCCCCTCTCCCTCTCTCTCTCTGTAGAACTTCCCCCCTCCTTCCCCCAGGCGTGTTTCCTCTGCCTTCCTGTCTCCTAAGCTCCAAGGACCCGCCTTTCCCTCTGTAACCAGTTTCCCGAGAGTTCGAGCCTCTCACTGCTTCCACGGCTGGCTCATGCTGTCGGCCTGAGCCTTTCCAAATAAACTTCACTTGTGTTTGCGTTGCTTGGCTCTGAATTCCTTTCTCAGCTGCACTCGAGAACAGAGGTCTGACACCTGGTGCAGTTTCTGTTCCCGGTGAACAGTCTGTTCTGGTACCTTCACTTCCACCACCTGGAGCTGCGTGAAGACAGACTTTCTAGGTGACCTCCCTCTGCCAAGGTCTTTTTCCTCCCTTCACTGAGCTTGTGAAGATTTTTGAGGGTTCTCTCTAAATTTGGGGGGAGGGGCTTGTCCAAGGCCATGAGTTGTACAATTTCAAGAAGAAACATTGACATTTTACTTTTTACGGAGAGGTCATCCCTTGAGACACAGGTGCCATTTCCGTGAGTAAACTCAGGTACTGCCGCATGAATGGTGCCTCCAGAAGTTGTACCCCCTGGGAGGTCAGAGGGAGATGACTTTCTCTCTCTACTTTTGGGGGGGTGAGAGGGGCCGAGGGGAGGAGCCTATCACCCTCCCCCAGCTGTGCTTCATTTCTGATCAGCCAAACGTCCCCAAAGGAGACACACTGCTAGTTCACTGCTCCGGTCTCAGCTCTGTCTTTGACTTTTTGGCCCCAAGGATTTTCCTTTCTTTCCTATAAGACCTGCTATGCATCTAAAGGGCTAATATATAATTTATTCAGCATTTAGGTGTTTGGGCAACATGGATTTTCAGAACACTTTGTCCACGCCGTTACTAGGAGGATAGCCTCCTCCTCATTTGATCCCTTTTGCATGTCCAAATCCTTCCTAGTCTTCAACATCGAGCTCAAAAGCCGTTTTCCACCCACAACCCCTCCCCTAATCCCTTTGCACCTGAAATAAGTGCCCGGGGCCTCAGAGGACTCTGAGCATTTGCACGTCTTACTGCTCCCCATCCTCCACAGCAGGAAAATGTAGGAGGGAGCTTTAAGTGGATAAAACCCTTAATGGGGACTCCACTTCTCTACCTAAGCACAGCAGAGGGTGTTGCTCAATAAATATTTTATGAATGAACAAACAGCCCAAACCAAATTCTCTCAAACCCCAAAAAGGTTCGTAATTTTTCTGTTTCAGTAAACAGTATTATCATTTTGCCAGATTATTCAGATTTCCAAGACCTCAAAGTAATCCTAGGTGCTATTCTACCTCCAGTCATTTGCAACCATTCTTCCTACCAGTTCTCAAGTCAGAGCTTCAACTCTCTCTGTAACTACATTTTTCCTTCCCCTCCATCCATTCTACATGCACTGCCAAATTAACATTCCTACAACATTCTCCTGTCCAAACACTTGTCTTTATAAAATTGTACAAACTTGGACAAGCTTCCTTAGCTTCTCTGAACCAGTTCTTCCTTTGAGAAATGGTGTAATATTATTGGCAAAGGCTGCACTGTCCAACACAGTAATTAGTAACCACAGGTGGTTATTTAAAATTTCAACTGACTAAAATAAAAATTTTAATTTCAGTTCCTCAGTCACATTAATAACATTTCAAGTACTCAAAAGCCACACGTGTCTACCATATAGGACACATATGACAGTGAAAATAGTACATTTCCATTCTTGTGGAAAAGTTCTATTGGGCTGTGCTAGAAGGTTATTAATGGGACTGCTCTGACATAGCACAAGTAAAGAACTTAACACACTGAACATAAACAGCAGCTTATAGAATGAACTGTTAAATGTTCTAAAATAATACTTGCTTCATAGAGGTTTATTGAAGAATTAAATGAGATAATAGATGTAATAGGTGACATGGATAATATACTGTCAGAGGAGTCAATGAAAGTTTGTTCCTCTTTTAGAATATAAAAGATGAATTACCTGCTTTAGTATCAGTCTTCACATCTGCCCAAACCTGCCCCTTTTGAAGATCCTGAAAACCACAAAGAAAATCAGAGATTGGTCAACCCACATGCTTTAAAACATACAATTTCTAGTCAATCACCAATATTGTTCATGGGCAGAACGCTATGCTATAGGATTATTAATAGGTTATTTTCCCTAGAGTTGATAGTTGTGTGTTTCATAATGATGTTGTACCATCTAGAAATGAGTATTTTAAGTCTAAGATATCAATTCTCTGTTCCTTTTTTATATTAGACACCTTTCACTGACCTCAGAAAGGATAAAAGAAAATACAAAAACAGTAAGTTTCCCCTACAAGATATACAAAAATGCAAAAAGGAATCATAGCTTATTAAGCAAGATAAAGCACTATTTTTTTGTGATGCAATGGAAAGAATGCAGCTGTGTTATCAGAATTACCTAAGCCACATGTGTCAAACACAAGGCCCGAGGGCCAAATCCGTCCCGCCAGGCCTTGCAATGTGGCCCGAACCGCGCTGTCATCACTGCACTCCGCTGCGTTTCCATCACAATGACAGTTTATGACTGTTCAGTAAACCATTCGGCCCGCGATTTAGGCTGCATTTTAGATTTTGGCCCCTTCTCTGATTGAGTTCTGACACCTCTAACCTAATCGCAAATCTTAGCTTTGTCATGTTGCAGCTGTATACCGTATTTTTCGGACCATAAGACGCACTTTTTTCCCCCCAGAAGTGGGGGGAAAAAGTCCCTGCGTCTTATGGTCCAAATATAGCCGACACATATACTTTTAAAAAAAAGTTTTTTTACTTGCCCGGCTCTGTGTGGTCTCTGTGTGCTTGCCCGGCTCTAAAATGGTTCTAAATGCTGCTGTTTACTTTACAGGATTGATTACATGTGTTTATGACTGTGATGTTGGGTTTTAATGCACATAAAATATTTTAGGACACTATTTGTTTCAGAATCTTTTTTTCTTCATTTCCCTTCTCTAAAAACTGGTGCATCTTATGGTCCGGAGCGTCTTATGGTCCGAAAAATACGGTAATTTCAGACAAGTTATTTAGCTTCTCTGAGTTACAGTATTCTGACTTGTAAAGTAGCAATCTAAAAGGTTTTTTCCTTAGAGTTGAACCCAGTAAACATAAATATAATAATGACAATTTTATACAACCATAACTAGCCACAAGGATGGGAAATGACAACACTTAATCCTTTGAATACAAGAGTCATCTTGGATTCGTATGTCCTTCGGTTTTGAGAGTTCCAGTTGTTTCCACTGACAATTTAGAGAAGCAGGGCTTGAAATGGTCGCCCAGTTTGCTGACAACAGAAATGTCAGTGCACCAATTAGGGAAGATAAGTATTGCCCTTGTATTTTCACACTGAAAACTGGAAGCATGGCTGCCAACCATGCAGAATAAGAATTTTAATGGTTAAGAATTTAAGAAACCTGCTCAGCCAGTGTGGCTCACTGGTTGAGTGTCCACCTATGAATCAGGTCACAGTTCAATTCACCGTCAGGGAACATGCCAGGTGGTGGGGTCAGTGTGGGGTGTGCAGGAGGCAGCCAACCAATGATTCTCTCCCATCACTGATGTTTCTATCTCTTTTCCTCTTCCTTCCTCTCTGAAATCAATAAAAATATATTTTAAAAAAGAATTTAAGAAATCTTTTAAAATCCTCCAAAATATGCAGGAATAACAACCTTCACGTGGCACGATGAGTTTAAGAAAATGTTCTTGCATCTCTCACCTATGTTCTCTGCTTTCTTTGGTGATCCATGGATTAGAACTGCAGCTACAATTTTCATAAATGTTGAAATGCCACTGGTAATAAGATGAGTTTCTTATGCTGTCTCCTTTAAGTGGTGACTGCTGAGAAACGATAAGAAAATTCTACTTTTACTTTCATAAACCTTTAAAAAAAAAATCTTCCCTAAGGATATTTTTTCCATTGATTTTAGAAAGAGTGGGAGAAAGGTGAAAAAAAAGAAATATCGACGTGAGAGAAACACATTGATTGGTTGCCTCCTGCACGGGCTCGGTTGGAAAGAGCCTGCAACCCAGGGAAATGCCCTTGACGGGACTCGAACCCGGGACCTTTTGGTCTTCAGGACGAAGCTCCATCCACTGAGCCAATCTGGCTAGGGCAAGAAAGAAAATTCTAGATGTTCCAAGTGAAGACAGAAAGCCCTGGAGGTACACAGACCCATCAGGTCCAAAGCATAATAGAAAAATGATTATTTTTCTAAACTCTACGTTGGACTTCTGACACATGAAATATCCTTGTAATGGTGTTCAATCCTAGAGTCTAGAAGATCACGCAACTTTTAAAACAAGTTGGATCAAACATCACTGGTAATTGGGGGGAGAATCGGATGCATTGCAAATGACAGCACTGCCTCTGGGGGATCTGGGAAAGAAATCACGTGTGTTTTGCACATGTACCTTACAGGAAAGCGGTGGATACAAAGCCTTGCCATTTACCTGTCAGTGCTGGGCTCACCGGCACCCCCCCCCCTCCCAGGACAGAACTGCGGGCAGCAGCCCCGATGCCCGAGCTGCGCGTCCGCACAGCGGCCTCCACAGATCTCCATTTCACCCCGTCCCCGGGCCGACACGCCCCTGTCCAGGAACCCGGGCCCCGGAGGGCCGACGGGAACGCAGACTCCGCCGGCTTTCCGTGGGACCGGGGCAAACGTTCCCGGTGGCCGCCGGAAACACACGAACCCGGGGAGCTGCCCCGCAGACCACGCCGCCTTCCGGGCGCGGGCGCTTGGGTGCGGACCAGGGCTCGGCTGGCGCGGCGCCCGGAGAGGATGCGGGAGGCGGGGCCGGCCCGGCGCGGGGCAGCGGGCACGGGGGGAGGGAAAAGGTGAGGAGACCTAGGACCGAGCCGGAAAGGTGGGGCGCGGAGGCCTGAGCCCCGGCCCGCACGCACCCCCAGAGCCTCCCTCCGCGGCCCCCGCCGGGCCCCGCGCGCGTCCCTCAGAGCCGTTCTCCGAGGCCCCCGACCCGGCCCCCGACCAGCACGCCTGCCCGCCATGAGGGCACCCTGGTCCCGCCGCGCGCCCCTCGGACAGACACACACTCCCGGGGCCGCCCCGCACCCCCTTCCCGCCTACCTCGCCGGCGGAGCCCGCGGAGGCGGCCTGCGGGGCCCGGCGCCTGCGGGCGGGACGGACACGGGGCGGGCCCCGCGGCGCGCGCGCCCGCGCCTCCAGGCCCCGCCCCCGGGCGCGCTCCCGCCGCCGCGCCGCCGCTCCTTTACGGCCGTCGCGAAAGTGTCGTGAACGCGCTGCCGCCCATCAGAGTCACCCGGTCGGCTGGAGTCGGAGTTATCAATACTCGGGGTGTGCCTGCCGGGGTCCGGGTAAGGCTGCGGCGCCCGGGCTCGGGGAGACACGGTCCGGGCGGGGAGGAGGTGTTGGGGGGACACGGCTCTCCAAGGCGGTGGAGGGAGGGGTACGGTGTGCTGGGTGGGGCGTGGGAATGGAGCGGAGGGTGGACCCGCGCGAGGCGGGCGCCGTCCTTCCCCCCGCGGGGTGGCCTCGCGCGCGGCGTTGTGGGGAGGGCGGGGGGCGCTGCCCCGCTGGCCGCGGGCGGAGAGGTGCCCCCGCGGGAGCCCGGGGGCTGCTGGGGTTCGAGGGGTGGGGGTGGGGGGTTGGGGAGTCGGAGTGGGAGAAATCGGGGAGCAGGGCTGGGCAGACCGGAGGCTGGGGGCGCTGCCCGCGCGGAGCCGACCTTGCCTGCCGGTCGGGTCTCCCCCCCTCCCCCCCCGAGCCGCGGTGCTGCGCCCCGGGCCCCGCTCCTCGGGCAGCAACTTCTGCAGACGTGTCCGCGGGTCCTGGCCGCCCCGGGGCCGCCGCCGGGGGCTGGATCGCGGAGCCAGGCGGGAGGGGGCCGGTGCCCGCCCGGCTCCGCGGGAACGCGGATGAATGGGACCTTCACGTCCGGCCGCCTTAACTTTCCTCCCGTTCGGTGCCTGGCGCGTTGGCCTTTTTGCATCCTTTGGATCGGATGTATAGTTTTGCTCGGAAGTCACCGTTCCTGAATGAAGGCATAGTAAGGTCGTAGTAGGCAAAGCCTGAGCGATCTCTCCACCGCATGAGCGTCTCGTCTTGTAGGTGGACAGAAACTGTCCCGTCCCTACGCGAGAACGAGCAGGAATGTGCTCGGTGACCGCACCAGTCAGGCTGTGGGCAGGACCTTTCCAGCTTTTCTACTGGAGGACCATGGTCGTCCTCATAAAATTTCAGATGGAGGGAGGGAGGCTGTTGCTGCCTGTGGGGTCTGTGCTGAGAAACATTAGCCAAAGCCCCGTCCTTGTGCAGGCCTTCCGATCCTTCCAGGTGAAAAAGCGAACCCGCTCCGACAGAGGCGTGTCTATTTGTTGTCCACTTAATAGAGTATTACTGGATATTTACAGCGATCGTCTTATAAATTTATTCTCCTTCCTCGCCCACAACCGGTCTCTCTTAAAGTCTGCATTATAAACACCAGTAAGTGTTTGATATATAACTCTAAACTTTTTACAGCCCCAATTACATTTTATTGCATTGTCGATGTGTTTTCTAGGCAGCAGTGGACTCCTTTGAGCCCGCGAAAAGTGCTGGTGATGTTCTTTCTGAGGGTCATGCTGTGCTGTGGTTTCTAAGGGAGTAAGAAGATCATCTATAAAATGCTAGGTTGTTGCTTCTCCCTCTGCCCCCACCTTCCACCCCCCTCCTCGGAGGGAGCTGTTTCCCGGTTTTGAGGAATGCAAGATTTCACTTCGGCAAAACAGTAGATGTGAATTGTATCACACAGAATTGTTTCTGCTTCCAAAGCTACTGAAAAGGCTTTTGTTTCTGCTGGCTTGTTTTGGGTATCACTTGTTAAATAATGCTGAATGTAATCCACTGATCTTGTTGGCTCTCTCTGTCTCTCTTTTACTTGCTTTTTTAATCTTCTCTGCCTCCCCAATCGTGCTGGCCATGAGAATTTTCCTTTAGGAGCGCCGTGAATGCTGTGTAGTCACCAGCATCTGTGAGAGGTTGTACTAGTAAACATATTGCTGAATCAGTGCAGCTCAAAACTTGGCACACTTCGGCATGGGAGCTGGGAATTCTAGAATCTCCCACTGCAGGTTGGGTATTGTGTAAGCTTCCCTTACGCTCTGCTGAGCAATGGAGATTCCTTTTTTCATGCGATACGTGTCCGATGCTCCCCGGTGCTGAGCCCAGGAGTAATGCAGGCTGCGTGCCATTGTCCTCAGTTGCTCTAAGCACAGTTGTTTTGCATCTTAGGTTTAAGTTCCACAAATTGTGATTTTAGTGAACGTATTCATTAAATATCTCAGATTATATTTTTGTACCTTTGTTAGGTTTTCCCCATTGATTTTTGAGAGAGTGGAAAGGAAGGAGGGAGACAGAGACAGAGAGAGACAGAGACAGAGAGAGAGAGAGAGAGAGAGAGAGAGAGAGAGAGAGAGAGAGAGAGAGCGCGCGCGCATGCGCGCTCGAGCGCGAGTGCGCTCGCACAGATATGAGAGAGATACATCAATTGGTTGCCTCGCATGCATCCCAGCCTGGGGTGGGAAGGAATCTGCAACCCAGAACAGAAATTGAATCCACCACCCTTCAGTGCATGGACTGGTGCTCTAACCACTGAGCGCACCAGCCAGGGCCCTTTGTTGGACTTTTCACATAAAAATATGCATGCCTGCCCAAAGAAAACTTACTGTTAGCTCATCCCGGCCCCCTCCTCTGGACTCCCACAACAGTTTGTTCCCTCGGCTGTTTGGGCATGGATGGCATATTTCAATCTTTCTATTTCCTCAAGGTCTAGAACCACTAAGTGATCATTAAATACTAGATGAATCACATTTGCTCATTGTTCCACAAACGAGAACTAATTGCCTACTTAACGTTAGCTCTGCTATGAGATTCTTGGGGGAAGAAAAACAAGGTTGCGATACATATGGCCCCACACTCCAGGTGCTCACAGACCTGGTGAGGAAAGACCAAAACACCATCACTGCCACCAATAACCACAAGCAAAAGAAGCTTAAAGTGTGGTAAGTGCTATGAAAGGTTATAGCAGAGGAGGGGACTGTGCTAATTAGAAGTGGAAAGGTTGCGATGGCTGTCAATAGGCCTGTGATCAGTGTTATTCAGGGGGTGGGAAATTTTTACTTTAAAAATTTACTATTACAATTTATGAAAACACTAGAGGCCCATTGCATGAACATTCGTGCAATGGGCCTTCCTTTCCCTGGCTGCCGGCACCAGTTTTCCTCCGCTCCAATCACAGCAGAGAAGCCAAGCCTCTTCAGTCTTTGGTCTTCACTCTGCTCCTGCATATGCAAATTAACCCGCCATCTTTGTTGGGTTAATTTGCATACACACCCCTGATTGGATGGGTGGTTATTGCAGAGGTACAGTCAATTTGCATCTTTCTCTTTTATTAGTGTAGATTTCCTCGGTTAACAAATGGGCTGTGCTACAAAATTACAGGTTTCTTTAAAAGCTCCTCGATGGCTTTCTATAACATCAGAATGAAAACTCCGTGCTGTGGACCATAAACCTCTGCACTGTCTGGCTTTTCAAACTTCATTGTATTCCACTCTTTTTTTGTGTGTGTGGGGGGGTGTTGTTATTGAGATATTGTTAACATATAACATTAGATTAATGACATTAAAATATGACATAACTATATAACATTATATTAACATGATGTGAGTTTCTAGCGTGCAGCATACTGAGTTTACTTATGTGTATGTTGGAAAGTGATCACAGTAACTCTTTGATTTGGTTTACAGCTGCCCAGCCATACTGATCTCAAAGGTGCCTGTATGAGATAAGTTTTTTTCTTGCCTCGGGGCCGGTTCCTTTTCTGTGGATGGTTTCTGCTGCTCTTGGATTTGGTATCTTCTATATTTGGTATCCATGCTGCCTCTTCCCAGACTTCAGCCACCTTATTCACACCGCGCACCGCAGTCCACTGCTTTCTGGCTCCACACTTTGTTTTTGTCATAGCACCTATCACAGTGTGTCATCTTACTTGCTTGTTTACCTGTTTTTAGTTATTTTCCCGTTGGATGTGAGAGCTGGGACTGTGTGTGTGTTTTGTTTACGAATCTTCGTGCATCGGGGCTTCTAGTTTTCTCATAAAAACTTACAACTGGTAACTAGGTTTCTCTAGCCAGTGACAATCTTAATTTTTTTCTTGGTCACTTTTTTCTTTTTTAGTTCCTCACTTTTTTCTTTTTTAGTTCCTTGTAGTGTGGCAAGAAAATGGTATTTTCTTTTCATCCTTTGGCCATAGACCTGGCTTAGGCAAAAATCCCAAGTGGCCGAAATAATTTTTGTAATATTTGTGCCTCTTTTTCATATCTCCATCCCACGCCCTTTTCCCCTTTCTCTCCATATAGTCTGATCTTCCTACCGTAGTCATCTACCCTGTCCTGCCTCCTTGAAATATAAAATTTGCTAAAATTCAGAAGCCCCTGTTTTTTCCTGAGATGAGTTTCCCGTCAATAGCCCCTGCGTTTCGGGTGTGATGGAGGGAGGTGGGACTGGCAGTGACGGCAGCCCTGTGGTGGTCTGGACACGTTGAAAGCACAGCATGTCAGGGGCCACGTGTATCTGAATGTGTTTGCAATCTTGTTGCTAACAACTTCGCAGAGACAACCTTGCCAAATTGAAATGTTCGAAACCTTTTTGGCTCCCCCCCACCCCCACCTCCCACCCCTGGGGTGAATTAGACAGTGGCTAGGCCTAGAAAGGTTTGTCAAAATGTAGATTTTTTTTTTTCCAAGGGAGAAGTAAATGGTTAAAAATAAAAAAAATCTAGGTCAGCAAGGGAAAACACCCAGAAGGAAAAGTATCAGTTTATCATACAGTCCTGCCAAAGGCTCAAACTTAAAACCATCAGGATCGGTTGCTTGTAGCTGTCAGTGCCAAAAGTGGGCCAGCACCCTCACTGTGTTACCTTTAAAAAACGGGGGAAACTGAGGGGGGGGGTGTGTGTGAAATATTATATAATAAAATATAAGTTAAGTTGGCTAAACTTTTTGTTCCAGCTTTAAGCGAAATTCCTTAAGAGCATACCAAATATTAAAACGCATCCTGAGTTTGACTATAGAAAAGCTGGCTTACCGTAAAGCTAAGCGTTTTGGTGGTTATCAGTCTGCCATTTGATCTAAAATGATCTTGTAACCGGTTGTTTGGCATTAT